TGGGGGCAACAAGGGAGAAACGGGAGATTTGGAAGGTAAAGGGGGAACAGCAGTTACTGTAGGTGCTGCATGTTGTTGCTGATCTGCTGATGCACTGAGCTGTTGGGAAGCGGCAGCTGGACCTGCAATCACTCTACCTTCTCCAGGATCCTCTTCATCTCCCCTGACTCCTGGGCTAGGTGTGTGTTTAGCTCTACAACTGGGGGTTTCTGCAGGGTACCCCTGTCACCAAGGTCAGAGGCAACAAGAACAAAGGCTTTAGTCCAGCCGTGGGCAAACTATGGCCCACGGGCCGAATTCGGCCCGTTTGAAATGAATAAAACTAAAAAAAAAAAAGACCGTACCCTTTTATGTAATGATGTTTACTTTGAATTTATATTAGTTCACACAGACACTCCATCCATGCTTTTGTTCTGGCCCTCCGGTCCAGTTTAAGAACCCATTGTGGCCCTCGAGTCAAAAAGTTTGCCCACTCCTTTGTCCCTCCTTGTGGGTTTCCAACTCAGGATTCTGAGTTCCAGCTCCTTTTATGATCTTCCCTTCCTGACTGCCAACTCTGGACTTTGAACTCCAGCATCAGACCAGGAGGTGACAGCCTTATGGGACCAACTTAACCAGCTGCCACAATTACATAAACCAATCCCTTGGAAGTCCAGAGATAACCCCACGCCTATGGTTCTTAATTTTTTCACCACCGTGGTACTGCAGTGCAATGGGGGAAGGACCCTCTTTGCAATAGACAGTGCTGGTCAAGTGGAAATATGTATGGAAAATAATAGAGTCTCAGATTCTAGAAGATAAAGAATATTTTCATGACTTTGATGTAGAAAATGTTTTATTAAACATGATACTAAAAGCAGTAATCATAAGGTTAGTAAAGTGAATTTCAATTTTTCAAGGACTTGATCATCAAATTTCATTAACATCAGAAGATACCATTAAGGGAGTGAAAAGGCAATCACAATTGGGAGAAGATATTTGCAATACATCTGAAAAAAGACTCATAGCCAGTATTTTTTTTTTTAGAACTTATGCAAATCAATACGAATAAGTAAGAAAATCCAATAGAAAAGCAAGCAAAAGAATAGATATTTTTGGAAAAGAGGATGCCCAAATGAAAAACAAGTATATGAATGGGTAGCAATTGGCCCCCTCAAAATTAAATCTCAACTTAAAGCTTGTACTTTATAAAAAATTAGCTCAAAATGTATTATAGAGCTAAATGTAAAACATATTGCTATAAAAATTTTAGAAAAGAACATAGGAAAAACTCTTTGAAAACTAGAGATAGGCAAAGAGTTCTTAGAAATGATACAAAAAGCACAAGCCAAAAATAAAGAAGTGGATAATTTGGACTTCATCAAAGTTCAAAATGTTTGCTTTGCAAAAGACCCTGTCTTTTTTATAATAGCCATTCTACCAGGTGTGAGGTGATATCTCATTGTGGTTTTGATATGCATTTCCCTGATGATAACTATGTTTAGCGCCTTTTCATGTCACAAACAGGTTTTTAAGTTTAACTTATTTTGTCAGATTGCCTAATAATATCAGATATCAATGAATTTTAACAAATGAAACCTCTAATCAAATATAAAGATAATTTGGCTTGAGAGACCAACTTTTAAGTTCAAAATCCACTTGCCAAAGCTTTACATAAATCCATGTCAAGATCTGGGCACCTGATATTCTATTGTGTTTGTTTTAATATAACTTGTATCCCCACAAATTTAAATCAGGAAAGTATTTACAAACAGGGATCTATAGCTATTCTTATGATAACTATAGCTACACACATAGCTTGCATCTTGGCATCTCAGGGCACTAATAGAATGGCAGAGTATTAACTGTACATGTGAATAATGTGGGTAGGAAGAGACCATATCTAAGCCTTCTTTCCCAAATCATAATGCTTTCTCCTTCCATTACATAAATTTACGTAATTGTAGATGATGGCTTCTTTTATTTAAACAACACACACAAAGTTGGAAGGTTATTTGAACCTGGGAGGCTGGAAACGAACGGTAAAAATGTAAGAAATCAAAACACACCCCTTGCAAACCCGGAGTCACTGGAGCCCCGTGCCTGCAGCGCCTGCGCCGCAGCCTCCGAGCTGTAGGGGTCGCTGTGGGGCAGAGCCGGCGGGCGCGGCAAGACGCTCTTTCCCGCAGGCGAAGACGGGGCGGAGCGTTGCGGGCCCCAGAGGAGGGGACCCTGTGGCAGGTGAGCGCCGGAGGTGGCGGGGTGGCGGGGAGTGGGCCGTCGCCCCGCCGCACGCTCGTTCCTGGCCTTCGCGGGCCTCACTCCCAGGTGCGTGGGGCTCTGTCGAGCACCCAAGATCCCCGCCACTGCAGGGTGCCCTGAGCCAGGTCTCGGACATTACTGACCCACAGGGCCCCTTGCCCGCCCCTCGCACCGGGAGCCTGACACGGGTCCGTGACGCTTCCGTGGACACCTCCACCTTAATTAAGAAACCCTCCCGTTTCCTGGACAGTTTCCTGGTGCCCTAGCTCACCAGGCTCTCTTTCGGGAAGATGGATTTGCACTTGTTTGCACTTGCGGTGCCTCTCGCTCTGCAGCTGTCAGCAGCCCTGTGTCCACCGCAGGACAGTGCCTGCACCCCGCCGAGGGTGTCTTTTTCTGGAGGCTGGGACGCACCTGTCCTCTGAGTCCCCGCCAGCAGCAGAGTAGGGACCACAGTATAGGGAGGCGAGTGCGCCCAGAGAGTACTGACAGCCTCTGAGGGCCTGTCACAGCCACCGGCAGAACCTTCCTTCAGGGGCAGTAAATCCAAAGATGGAGAGGTTCTTCTTACTCGTGTTTTTTACGTTAGAAACAATACAGAATCCATTTTTTAAAATTTAAGTGATGACAAGTTTATGTTTCTTATCTCTTGTAATAACATAAATGCCCAGTCCTGTCGATTTAGGAGTAAGGGGGGGGGGGCAGGAGATTGAGAGACAGGATTTTCTCATTCTCCCATAGCCAAAGGCACAACCTCTTTGGGTTTAGGTTTCTCGTTGTTTAAAGGAGATTGCCCCTGGCCGGTTTGGCTCAGTGGATAGAGCGTCTCCCTTCCTCTCTGTAAAAAATCAATAATATATATATATAGTATATATATAGTATATATATATATTTTAAAGGAGATTGGACCAGATGGTGAGGAAAATAGCTACCTACCATTTATTGGATATGTTGGTGAGGAAGACAGTAGCTACCATTTATTGGACATATGCTTTTAGAAATGTTATTTAATGCACACAGTAATTTTATGCAGTGGTTCATATTACCCCTTTTCTAAAGGAGAAACTGAGGCCCAGAGAGGTTGTCACTTACACACAGACTCCTGTGGAATCCCCCAAGGTTAAATTGGAAGAAGACCAAAAATCAAATGTGGTATTTGAACTAGTTTGGTACTCAATTGCTAGTCACTGGTCTCCCAAATCAGTTTGATTTTGAAGACCGTGGCTGCAGATATCAGTTTAACTATTTCCAAAGACTTAGCAAATCCTGCAATTGCTGCAGGAGTGCTAACTAATGTCAAAATGGAACCAGAAAGTGATGATGAGAGTATGATGACGACAGTGATAACCATAACATCTAAGGGGAGCACGTGATGGAACCGCCTACAGTGATTGTTTCAGAAGTCCTTGCAAGTGTAGAAAGTGTTGACTATTCTTTATCCTTTCCCTTAAAGCGGATGTTCCTGATGAAGTGTTTACCCAATTAAGTGGGATAGATCAATATTTAGTGACTACTGCAACAAAGATGTTTGAAAAAACTGAACTGCTATAACTAATAAAGTTGCAAAAATATTGCTTTTATCCTATATAATAAAAAGCTAATATACAAATTGTCCCCTCTACCGGAACTCGACCTGGAGCTCGACCAGGGGGCAGGGCCAGCCAGCCAACTGCCCACAGCTCCTCCCCCTGGCTGGCCTGCCCCTGATCAGCCCCTCCCACCCCAATTGGAGGCAGGGCCAGCCAACCTCCCACATCCCCTCTCTCCTCCCAATATCACCAGCCCCCCCACGGGCACGAATTCATGCACCAGGACTCTAGTAAAGTCTATAAAATGGAAGACTTAAAGAATACTTGTATAAACAAAGCCCCAATGAGTGTTCCAGGGAATAGCTATAGGCCAAGGGGGAGTGAGGACAAACAGCTACTTACCCTTACTCCTTAGTACTAATGCTTGCTTGGGCCAATGGGGAAGCGGGAGGAGCCTGAAAGGAAAGTGGGACGGGGAGGAATTGTAGGAGAAATTGAGCAAAAGAATGCTAGTTTTCTCTCAGATTGGTGTCCTGAGAGGGCTGGGGAAGGCGAGAAAGAGTGGAAGTGGAAGGAAATAGAGAAGGTTGTGGATAACCAATGGCCACTCCTAGCCTAGTACCTCCTTCATATAGCAAGATACAATGCGACTCAGACCAACAAATAATGCTCCAGGCTTCTGTAAGAAACAACTGTTGCTCACCTCACTGGTTCTGAGAGATGAAAAATAACCATTTTGTCAAACAAACTTAGAGCACCATTGACAAAGCATGTGTTTTACAAAGTAATAAAATAATTGACAGTCACTTTTGGTATATATCTGCACTGTAATTTTAAAAAATTAGTATAGCGTTTTAAAGAGCAACAGTCACAAAGGAAAAAGGTCTCTTATTTTATTTTTAGGTAATAAATCATCCCCAGTCAAGATGTCTTCAGCACCTGAGCCTCCAGCCTTTAAAAAGGAGCCGCCCAAAGAGAAAGACTTTCGAAACCCAGGGCTCAGAGGGGTCCAAACGACAACGTTATTTCGAGCTGTGAATCCGGAGCTCTTCATTAAACCTGTAAGAGATACACGCAGGATAATCATGTTTAATTTAGTGAGCCTGTCATCAATAGAAAGCTCTTATTTCCTGTGACATTTAGTTTTATCATGGAAATTTTGTGTTGACTATTAATATCTCTCTGAATAAATGCAGCTGGAAGGAAAATCTTAAATGCTGTTTCACTAAATACACATATAAAATGAATTATTTTAAGGACATTTGAGAATTTTAATGGAAAGTGATTGTATTTTCATGGATCAACTCAAATTTCTATTTAAAATTTTAATAGCTATATTAATTTGAAGGACATTTTTGATGTTTGATCAGGTTCTATTAAGTAAATTAGACTTTCTGATGAAACAGAGCAAAACGAAAAATCTCATCCTTATTATAGACAATTCCAGCTTCTTTTCACCGGCTTCCCTCTGGCACCCAAGATCCAGGCTTCCCTCGCAGCCCCGGCTTTATCCGGAAGGACATCTGATCTAATTAGCACATTACTATGCTTTTATTATTATAAAATATTGAAATGTATTGAATTTGATTAGAATTTTAATAATTGGAATTTTAGTAACATAGTTGCCAGTGTAAACTGACAGTTAAATAGATCAATTTAACAATCAAATCATTAA